AGTCATGTCTGACTCCTGTGACAGCATGGACTGCAACCTACCAGGCTCCTCTGTCCATGGAATTCTCCAGGCAGGAATACAGAGGTGGGTTGCCATTCCCTTCTCCAGGGGATCTTCCCAAGCCAGGGGTAGAACGCACGTCTCCCACATTGCAGGCAGATTCTTTACCAGCTGAGCTACCAGGGAAACCTAGTAAATCTGGGAGCCAAGGTAAATGAGTAGAATCATGGCTGAGAGTCCATGGGATCCTGGGTTTCAAAATCTTCTCTGCTGAGATCTTGGGTAATCAAGTTAGAGTCTCTTTGCCTAGTCTGTGGAAGGGTGGATAATAATAGCACCTACCTTTTAGGATTATTGTGAAGATTAAACAAGTTACTTTGTCTAATACATCTAAAGCACCAATTATTGTGCAATGCAAATAATCTAACCACTCAGGTGAGAGGATATAGATCCCACATTGCAGGCAGATTCTTTACCAGCTGAGCTACCAGGGAAACCTAGTAAATCTGGGAGCCAAGGTAAATGAGTAGAATCATGGCTGAGAGTCCATGGGATCCTGGGTTTCAAAATCTTCTCTGCTGAGATCTTGGGTAATCAATTTAGAGTCTCTTTGCCTAGTCTGTGGAATGGTGGATAATAATAGCACCTACCTTTTAGGATTATTGTGAAGATTAAACAAGTTACTTTGTCTAATACATCTAAAGCACCAATTATTGTGCAATGCAAATAATCTAACCACTCAGATGAGAGGATATAGGAATCTTTTTAAATTAAATGAATCCATGGTATATGTAAATTATAAGCAATGTACACAATGACTAAAACTTTATTTTATAGCCATTTTTATTGCTAGCAGAAATATAAAAGGCAAGAAATGGGAAAAGGTCACCAAAGACCATGAGGAGGAAAGCAGAAAAAAGTGACACACGATCTATGTTTTTCTCTCCACTCTTTCTCCATCATAAACTAGCCTGAGTGCCAACCCTTTCTATACAAGTAACACATACATTATATTTTGAAATCCCAAAATAATTATATAAATAGAAGCTCTTAAATATCCTTATAATGAAGAGTTTGGGAAATAAAGAAAGAAGAAGAGGACTTTGTAATTTTACGTGTCTATTTGCCCCCAGCTGTTCTATGCAAGGCCTCAGTTCTTTGCATGTTCAATTTCTATTATGTGTTCTGTTTCTTGTCTGGTGTCCATAAATCTTTTACCCCCAAACATATCAGAGAGGATCTAGACTTAATTTATAAGGTCTGAAATACAGTGTCTTCCAAAATGCCCTGGATGACTCATGAATATCTTCATGCCTGCTTTCTAATATAGTCAAAATTTCATAATCAAAATTAAAGAAGGGAAAATATATTTTTTGCAAATAATACTGTGCTTAATTTCAAATTATATGTATATACATATATGTCAACTAAAATATATACACACAGATATATTTTCTTTATTCATAAAGAAATTATTCTTCTGGTTTTTCCTTGCAATAAAACCACCAGTTAAGCTAAATTTCTTTGACTAATAATAAATTTTTCAGCAGGCAACCTGATCATCACAGGAAGTAGAACGTTCTGTCTTCCAGGACCTTATGAAACATGAGCTACATGAATATAGTTTCCATCTTATGGTTCTAAAATGACATAGAATACTGAGATAACAATCCATCTTCTCAAATCGGGCAACAATTTAAGAGTATATCAGTCAGCATTTTTAAATGGAAAACTGGCATTCAGCAATCCTTAAAATAGATAGGAGAAAGCTATATACACTCATAAATAAGTACAAACTTGATTCTTAATTAAATGTAATTTTCTTACATAGTTGGCAAAACTGTATTTTCTCCAACTATCTCCATTTGCATATCAAGTAATAATGTAGTATCCACATTTAGAGATTAAAATAAACTACCAAACAAGAGAACATTCTGTAATAAAACCAAATGCCCTGTTTAGATCCTGAAGCAGGTATGTGACCAGACGTAGTGCATGTAGCAATTAAAACACATTAGAATCACCTTAAAACGTACCTTTGCCAGCTGGATTTCAACTGAGTATAAGTATGCCTTTCTGAATGCATCACAGCAGAGTCTGTATAAAACTGATTCCGCAACAAAAAATAAGGCAGGCAGATGATCGCAATCAAAGGAAGCATGGTCCAGGGAAGCATAGAGCATATTTAAAGCTTCTGAAATATTAACAAGTAGAAACATGATTTATAGATCTTGCTGTTTTTCTACATGCTACAATTGAGTCACCAAAACCACACTGTGGCTTTAAAATATTCACTGTCTTGGACATCCCTCCCATCAAGAGGTGAGGTCTATGCCCTTTCTCTTTGGACCTGAGCAGGCCTTGTGACTGCTTCAGCCCATCGTAAGGGACATTCAGGGATGCTGCGTGATTCCAAGGCCAGATCAGAAAAGGCAATCCAGCCCCTTGAGACTACAGCGGAGGGGGAGGGTGGGAGAGAGGGAGGAGAGAGAGAGAAACGCCCTAGGAAGGCGCTCCAGCTCTTCCAGCCAACAGAAAGAGATCAGGGCACATGTGCGTGTGTGTGTGCTCAGTCGGCTAGCCCTGTCCGTTGTTTGCAACCCCGTGGACCGCTGCCTACCAGGCTCCTCTGCCCACAGGACTCCAGGCCAGAACACTGGAGTGGGTGGCCATGTCCTCCTCCAGGGGATCTTCTCGATCCAGGGACCAAACTCGCATCTCCTACCTCTCCTGCGTCGGCAGGCAGGTTCTTTACCGCCAGCATTATATAATAGTGGGGAAATCGGACAGAACTGGATGACAAAGAAGTGTCAACAGAAATGCTATAAACAGAAAAGCAGAGGGAATAAGGCCAATGGAGCTGAGAGATGAAGAATGTAAAGTTAAGGCCCTACAGAAAACTGCACCTCACATCATTACAGGCATACTTCGTTTTATTTATTGTGCTTTGCAGATATTGCAGGGTTTTTTCTTTTTTAAAAAAATTGAAGGTTTTTAGTAATCAAACATCTAGCAAGTGCCACTTTTCCAAAAGCATTATTTTTTAATTAAGGTAGGTACATTTTTCAGACAAGCTATTGCACAGTTGATAGACTGTAATACAGTATAAATATAGCTCTTACAAGCACCATGAAACAAAGAGCTTCATGTGACTCGCTTCATTGAAATACTTTCTTTATTATGGGGATCTTGAACCAAACTCAGACTCTCTCCAAGAATGTCCCTGGGCAAAGGTTTTGAGCAACTGTTAACGGGCAAAACTGAGGTTAAGTGACGAGGAAGAGCAAGTGGTTGCTGGTGAGCCCAGTCTGCTGACCTCAGGATCATTTAAAACATTTAACAGGGCCAGGCTGTGGACAGCAGTGATGAAGGGCCACAAAGGCAAGTTAGACACAGAATCATTCTTATTCTCCCTACTGCTTGAGAGCTCCCAGGTAGCACTACAAACCCCAATTCACACGCGGAAACACTCCCTGACCTCATCTGGATACCATTCTAAACTCATTTTAAAAGGCATACACATAAAATTTAGGTTAATGATAGAAGGAACTTTATTTCCTGAAAAATAATGTTTCTTAATTTCTCTTTTAGATTGGTTGGAGGGGGGTTTAAAAGGCGACATGGAAATAAGAAGTGATAAATGAAAAGGTAATGAGTAAAATGGCTGTTTAAAACAAGTGAAGAAAGAAATGGCCATTTGGTTAATGTTTTATGAGTAAGAGTTATAAAATGCCAAAACAAGTTTCTCTAACGTATAATGCCTGTTGTAATTGAAAATCACTAAATGACATTTTATATTACTTTTTAATTAGAAGTTAATAGAAAGTCAGTTATATAGTTGGTTTGAGCCCTCATTCTCTTGAATATTGACAGTCTTAAGACATATGGATGCATTATTTTAAAGGTATTAGAATCAATTTTTTTCACAGTATGGCTGTTGTCTTAAGACAAAAAAACTGGAGGTTATTCTCTCATAAATGCCATAATTATCTGATGTCCTACTGTATTCCTCTTTCTGGGCAAGGCAAAGTGTTTGGAGGATGAAGTGATTAATAATTGTGATATTTGCGCTTGAGGCGCTTATGATCAGATAAGGGAAAAGAAACAGAAACATAAAACTAAACATTGTATTTTCGCTGTTTTTGACTAGAGGGGATATGCCTGGCAAAAGGAGCGGCACTGCCACAGGTGTGTGGATGGAAAAATACAGGAGTGAGGAGTGGTTTATGAAGCATAGGATGCAAGCAGAGAATGTCTATTAATAGGCTATAAAGGGCCCTGAGTGCTCATTTAAGGATTTGAAATTTTAATCAAAAGCAGTGGAGAGTCTGAAAAGCAGTGGAGAATGAGAGTCTGAAGGTTTCTGAGCAGAAGACCATCAAACCTAAACTTCATACCAGTTTCAGAGTGTATCCACCAGTTTAGAATTACCATACTGTCCAGAGGTTGTATGGGTCGTGCTTTAAGGGTTAGTCAGATTCATTTATCCTCAGTGAGGTGGTTAACAAGACTTAAGGCACCATAACAGCCATGAACAATTTTCTACTTTAATTTTTCTACAGGATTTTTGCTAGTCTCATCATCTCTAAGTAGATGAGAGAGAGAACTTTGAACATCTTAGGGAAAAGCGTAAGATTAACTTTTGTTAACGCATTACAAATGAGATTAGAAATACATTTCTTATCTTGTTATCACCGTGCTTGTCCTGAAAAGCATCAACCTACAGAAAAGCACGCTGAATGATAAGTTAAGTCCTGGCTCTGCTCCCTGCTCTCTTTGTAACCTTGAAGTGTCATTTAACTTCTGTGAGCCCATCTTAGGGTGTAGTTGTAGGATTTCATTTGAAAAAATAGCATTATGAGAGTGTCAATCCTTGCTTTCCATGGAGGCATGAAAGAGCAGGACAGATATGAGCCAGCTCTTCGAGAAGAGTGGAGAAGAAATTTCTGGATATGAAAGATTGGCTGGAAGAGCGGGGAAGCTGGAAGCACTGACGGTCTTGGTATCTTGATGGAGACACACTACTAATAATCATTTGTGTTGGCATTGTGTTCCCTCTTGCACTTCTTCCTAAAATAGGCTTTCTTGGCTACACAAGTAGTTTATCATTTTTCTTTATGGTGTTCTTTGCTCTTGTGGTAATAATTAAAAATGCTCCACCTCGTGTCCCTTAACATTGAACTATACAGAACAGTACTTCCAGATTTCAAATACTACAGATGATTGTAAACCAAAGCTCTTTCATTTCTCCAAAGAGAGTGCTTATGCCATACCAACCATGGCTTTTTCATTTCTATGCCACACCTCAATACTGCCCATATACTGTGAACTTCAAAGCCCTTCTAAGAAAAGGATGCAGAATGTAACCAATACAGCAATTGCTTTAAATTTTCTCATTTATTTTGTATCTGCACTCTTTGGGTACCTCACTTTTTATGACAATGTGGCGTCAGAATTAATACTTGCCACATGATGTTGTCATCATGACTGTGAAGTTGTGCATACTATTTTCTGTGCTTTTGACAGTCCCTCTAATCCACTTCCCTGCAAGGAAAGCTTTAATGATGATGTTTTTTTCCAATTTTCCATTCTCATGGATTCGCCATTCTTTGATCACTCTAGCTCTCAATATTATCATTGTTTTACTGGCGATATATGTTCCTGACATTAGGAATGTATTTGGTATAGTTGGTAAGTTTTCTGTTTCAAAAATTCTGTTTTCTAAAATAGGTAAAATTGTCTTCCAGTCTCACATCTGAATCTGGCATTATTCTTTTTTTTTTCTTCCCACTTTAAGGTTCCAGTACATCAACGTGTTTGATTTTTGTGTTCCCAGGACTGTTTTATCTTAAAATGAGCAGAGAGGATTTTCTCTCACGGAAAAAGTTGGGGGTAGGTTGGGTTTTGTTTGTTTCTTTTAAGAATCTTATTTTAAGAAATAATTTGTCATTTTTTAATTAAGTCTTTTACCTACATCAAAAAAAGTTAATATATTTTGAACTATATACATTATTAGAGAGGGCGAAGGTTTTAAAAAATACTTCTAATTTTTCTTTATCTTTTTCCTTATTTCCACAGGCATTTGTTTTGCTCATCTTTGGTATTTTGGTTGGTAATTTTAGTTTAGCACTCATTATTTTTAATTGGATTAATAAATGAAAGAAATTATTTTCCTACTTCCTATGAAGAATATTTTACCTCCTTATACAAAAAGGAATGATTATGGAAGGCACCTTGGATGAATCCTCTTTATATGGGTTAACATTTTTGCAAACATAATTGAAAAGCAGAACAAAACAAGAGTGGGTAGGAGAAAGTAGATGTAGCAGTTTTAATCAAAATAAGAAACAAACTCAAAGTGCTCTTAAATATGTTGAACATCTTTGTGAGTTTATTTTTTTGAATTAACAGGGTAGTTTTAATGTTTACAGAGATAACTGAGCAGAAAGTACAGAGAGTTCTTATATATTCCCTCATTCTAGCACACCCATAGTTTCCCATATTACTAACATCTTGCATTAGTGAGGTACATTTGTTATACTTGATGAGCCAATATTGATATATTATTATTAACTGAAGTTCATGGTTTACATTAGGGCTCACTTTTGATGCAAGCATTGGCAACCACAGATCTTTTTACTGTCTCCATAAAAACCATGAGCCTTTCCCCATGAGCCTTTCCTAAAACATTGTTTGGTGTTTTAGGAACATGCAGCATCTAACCTTTCAGACTGGCTTCTTTCACTTAGCAATATGTGTTTAAGTTTGCTCTATGTCTCTTCATAACTTGATAGCTTTTTTTTTAGAATCACTGATAGTATTCCATTGTATGGATTTGGGGCTTCCCAAGTGGTGCTAGTGGTAAAGAACCCGCCTGCCAATGCAGGAGACTAAGAGACCCATTCCTGGGTCGGGAAGATCCCCTGGAGGAGGGCATGGCAACCCACTCCAGTGTCCTTGCCTGAAGAATCCCATGGACAGAGGAGCCTGGTGGGCTACAGTCCATAGGGTCGCAAAGAGTCAGACATGACTGAAGCAACTTAGCACATGTGCACCACAGTTTGTTTTTTCTTTCACCTGTTGAATGACCTCTTGTTTGCTTTCAAATTTTGACATTTGTGAATACAGCTGTTATAAACATTTGTAGGCAAATTTTTGTGTGGACAGAGATTTTCAGCTTGTTTGGGTTCATACCAATACCAGAGACTTTGCTTCTTAGCAGTTGCTGCATGGTGTGGTAGAATAGTTAGTCTTGTAAGACACTGCCTAACAGCCTTCCAAAGTGGGCTGTAACGTTTTGCAGTCCTGCCAGCAGTGTGTCAGAGTTCCTGCTGTTGCTTATCCTCGCCAGCATCAGGTGTTGTCAGTATTTTGTATTTTCACCATTCTAATAGTGGGTGTACAGTTGTAATATCTCATTTTTGTTTTAATTTGCATTTCCCTAATAACAGGTGATGTTGAACATGCTTATTTACCATCTGTGTATTTTCTTTGGTGAGGTTCTGATTTTTAAAATTGGGTTGTTTTTCACTGTTGAGTCTTGAGCATTCTTCATGTGTTTTAGATACCAATCCTTTATCAGACATGTCTTTTGCAAAGATTTTCTCCCAGTTTGTGGGTTGTCTTTTCATTCTCTTAGCAGCATCTTTCACTGAGAAGTTTTTTAATGTTATTAAATATATTGAGATAATTTTTTGTTTCTTTGGTTTTTTTAACAAATCAGTGCATTGTTTATATACAAAATTAAATCTTAGTTCATGCGTTAATGTCAACATTAGTCACTCATAACAAAACTATGGGATTATTTCACTTGGTATTTTGCCCTGACTCCAATCCTGACTAAAAAACTTATGATTTTCCTCTGTTATGCAGTATGAGATAGAGCTGTGATGACTGGCTGTGGATTTGAAAGTTCTCTGAGCCTTCTCATTTGTCACTAAAACATGTGACTTTCTACTTGACAGACAGAGACCAATATTGATGATTTATATCATATTTTGTTTGGAAGTTATAAATCATTCCCACCTTCCCATTGCTGTGGCTTATTCCTGGTTGGAAACCAGCAGCTAGGTTTCCCCTCCCCCACCGCCCTGGGGCATGTTCTGTGTAAAGGCTCCTTGTTAGCAGCCTGCCAAAGCCAGGGTATATCAGTAAAATGTAATCCTGCCCCTGAGCACATGTAAAGTAGAGAATTACATGCAAACTGCCAATTTGCATGTATGAAAACACACACTTTTGCAGGTGCCCCCTTGCTTCCCGCTTAGGAAATGGACTGAAAAATTGATAACTGAGCTGCTCTTTTGAGTTGAGATATCTCTTTGGCAACTTGTGATCAGCACGGTGTAATGGAAAAACTTTAACTTTGGGGGTTAGAAAGACATAGATGAAAATCTCAGTGAGTTTAGACAAACTACTTAACCTTTCTAAACCTCTACTTTCACATAGGTATTAAATGGAGTTAATACCAATTATACAGGATTGTGTTGAGAGGATTAAATGACCTTGTATAAATTAGGTGCAGACCAAAACAGGCTCTCTTAATAGATTGGATATTTATCCCCTTTTTTTCCATCCCTTCACCTTGACCTGTAAAATGAATTTGCTTTCGGACAAGGACACGGAATCTCTCTTCCATCTTGCACAACTATTATGTTTAGAATCTTTCTAGCCATCACTCACAGGAGAACTGGCCCCATGTGCATTCCTTTTAGTGCTTTCCCACATTTCTATGGGAAATTATAGATCCAAATACAAATAGGTGTTCAGCTGCTAAAATAAATCTAACTCCAATAATACCAAAATAACCCTAAGTCTGCAGCAGATGCAAGGATGTCCCCAGGGGCAGATGTTAAGCGTGATGACAGGTGGGCATCAATTAATATATTTGTCACCTGCTCACGAGATGGGATCATGGGAGGTTTGGCAAAGGGACAAGTAACCTATTTAACTGCCCAAAACTTAGTTAATATCAAGAGAAATTATTTGTAGAGCTGTTTATTTTTATTTTACTTTCATGTTCTGCCTTATCTAGTTGCCTGTTTGGAGTTGTAACTTTTCCCTATGAGTTTGGAGGAAGCTAGTAAGATGATTGGTAAAAAGCAGTGCCCCCTTCATTAGGATTTCACATAAAACCTTGTTCAAGTACTCCTCAGCATTTTTCCTGGGAAATATAGGCCTTCTCATTTTGGGCTTAATGTTCATAATTTATTAGGTAATAACTATTTAAAATAAAACTAAGTAAAGCACAAAATCTGTATTTTTCTAACACTTGGAGACTTGTTTGCTAAATTAAAAGACGAAGTGCTGAGACTATAAATTACTTTCATATGTTGAAGGTGAATGTTTAAATTGTACTTTTTTTTCAGAGAATGTTTACTCATGAGCTTAGCATTTAAATGGTTAAAACAAGCCTTTGAAGTTAACACTCCATTAAGATGAATGGGGGTAGTTCACACCTCTGCTGGCGCTGTATTATTTCAGTCTGGCTGTGGAGAAAACAAGACAGCAATAGGTTGATTTACTGTGTGAAGGCCCTTTAAACACCCAGGTCTGGAAATCTTTGTTGTTTTTTTCTTTTCCATCTAGAAAGAGAATCTGAAATACAGCACAATTTAGGTTTAGAATTGAAGTCTTGAAAGTAAAATAGCATAGGTTCTGTACTCTCTGGAAATTCCTAACTGGCATTTGATGGGTAGCTAGTTACCAGATCAGCCCAGCCTCTCTGGCTTTGTTTGCTTCTGCACCCTCGTGTTTCTTCCTATCACGCCACCCTTTAAATTTAAGCTTGGTACCCTGGTATACGGGGCTTCCTGGGTGGCTCAGTGGTAAAGAATCCGCTTGCCAATGCAGGAGATACGGATTTGATCCCTGGGTCAGGAAGATCCCCAGAGAAGGAAATGACAACCCACTCCATACTCTTAACTGGAAAAAGCGCATGGACAGAGTGGCCTGGCAGGCTACAGTCCATAGGGTCACGAAGAGTCAGACATGACTGAGCACAGATGCACACAGCCTGTTATATCACCAATGGAAAAGCAGAAACAAACTATCCATTTTGGGGTTAAACTTTACACATGCCTTTAAGCGAGTTATGAGCTTTTCATTGACCTTTGTGTGCTCCTAAAAAATTTTCATCTTTGCAAAATCTCATGTTCTATATTTGCCTAAATATAAAGCATTCAACTTTAAGAATTTTTTTCTTCCCCATTTTTTGGGGGGGAAGGAGTGGTGGATTAAAGTGAGCACAGATCAGTTGGGAAAGATTCACTTCTTTCTCGGTGTGTCCTTTGCACCAATACAGTTGTGTGTGAAATATGTATTCTCCCCATCGGTGGAAGGGCTATAGCCATTTGACCCTGAAATGATTTGTTTTAGGAATAAGATTACATGAGCACAAATGAAATGGTGAGCATTGTATGAGATGTTAATGAATGTGAAAGATCAGATTTTTCTCTTCTGCTTTTTCTGCCCTGTGTATTTGCAGGATCAGGTTCCTAGACAATTTGTGGGGAGCTGGGTGTGGAGAGTGTTTCCATTTGGGCTGTCTTCAGTGCTGACACTGCCAGTATGGTATATGGAGATGGAGAGTAGATGCTAGAAACAAAGGGACTCAAACCATCCATTTTAACCTGTTTTCCTTCTTGGCATGTTGACAGTGCTCTGTGGCTGTGTTAGAATTAACCCTGTTGGAAACATACTTTGTTTCCTGCAACTTTGCCTAAATTTTAGCTGTCATAATTTTTGGTCTAAGAACTTCTCAGAACCTTCTATAGAGTAAGAAATTAGCTTATCTAATTTAAACACATAATTTATTCATCTTTCTACCTTAATCCTCCTAAATATAGTCTTTTTATAACAAAGCAGACAAAATGGGAAAGCAAAATTTGACAAAGGATGAGTGAAGTTGTTGTGGAGGTGGTTTCCCCAGTGCCATCAGAATTCTTTGCTTTTCACCCTTCCTAAACAACCTGATGTATGGTTTTGCTATCATCATGATCCAGTGTCTTGGCTTGCCAGCCTGTCAATCAGGATGAGCAATTATGAGGAGCAGGAAGACTCATCTTGGCTGATGGCCAGGTGGACAGGTGGGAGTGAGAGGTTTTTTCACCTATGGGACAAAGTAAATGGTGGAGAGGGAAATGGAGTTGCCAGGGGAAAAAAGAAAAACAG